AGTGGTACTCACAGGAAAAACTCAACCATAATCCAGAGGGAATGTTATGACATAATTGCATATATTCTCCTACTGACTCTGTCTTAGTGGTTTTAGATTAAGATTAAAGCATATGTACACTTATTCAGTGTTAAAAACGTGAAGAAAGTTCATCGTATCTTATCCAGACCAAGACATTGCCAGAATTATATGAGCTTGTCAACACCTACAAGCCTGACGTTGTGTGGTCTGATGGAGACAAATCAGCCGATTCGTGGTATTGGGGATCCCGGGAGTTCCTGGCTTGGCTATACAATGACAGGTGAGAAATGCCAGGTCCAAGGTGTACCAAAGCAACCTTTCCCAGTCATAAGAAGTATGATAAATCATCCTGGTGATAGGGCTTGGTGTCTTGGCTGTGTGTCATTGTTCCCGGAGACAAGGAGGATTGCACTTTCAGTTTCGGTATGCCATTATAACAAGAACATCATGCTGAAGGTGGTTTGATCAGGGTTTGAACATTCATGGCCTCAGTTAAGCTTTCAAAAAGTTGTATGGTTGACAAGTGTATTGTGTTTCTTACTTTAACTCATCAGAGACAGAAATCTATTTATGTTGACTATTATTTGCTTAGCCCAGTCAAGGATGTTGTGGTGACCAATGACCGGTGGTGCACTGACTGCATATGTAACCATGGCGGTGTCTTCACATGTGGTGACAGGTACAATCCTGGTAAGGCGTAAAGGCTACATAATAAATACCAATTTCAAGCCATAATCAGCAATATTTGACAAAGCTGTAAGCTTCTCATTTATAGGAATGTAAGAATTTGGTTCACTGTCGATGAGTCTTTGTTCTTGTCCAGAACAGAAACTTAACTTTTCTTATGTTTCAGGTGTTTTGCAGAAGCACAAGTGGGTGAATGCCATGACAATAGACAAGAGGTCATGGGGCTTCCGACGCAATGCTCCCCTATCAGACTTCCTGACCATAGAGGAGCTCATTGAGACTCTAGCTAAAACAGTCAGGTACCCCACTTTAGTATATACATAATGGGTAGGTTTCTTAGCAAGATATAGCCAACAGATAAAAACATAATCAGTTGGGGTCTTACACTAATATATGATACAAATAAAGATGGCCAGGTAGGTACTATCATCATTGTGTACAATCAAACATATCACCTCCTTTATTTATCATCAGTCGGGACGGACAATATTGAGGACCTGGTCAAATACAATGATTATTCTGATCATTCTTAGATATCAGCCTTAATATCAGAAAATCGATCTGCATCCAGAAGGTGAGGTGAGGTGAGGTGAAATTGGGTTTTACATCGTGCTTGAGAATATTTCGCTCATATGACGACGTGCATGTGTGTGTATGTGTATGTGCGGCTGCTTGTACTAGCCCAGACTGAAGCTGGTTTTATAGTGCTAGCCCACTGAGATACCATGCCGCAGTGAAGCATGAATACCCCACTCAGACACATTATACTGACTCCAAGCCGACCAGTCCTTGTTGTACCCATTAATGCCGACGCCAGGCAGGGACCAACAAGTACCATATTTTAACGTCTTTTGGTATGACGCGGTCGGGGATCACATCCAGAAGGAGTGAAAGCATAAAACATGGATTGGAAACAGTTATTGCTCTTTCAATTGCTTATGTATTGTTTTTATGTGAGCAAAAATACTTACAATGAATATATCTTCCTCTGGTAATTTGGTCAGCCTACTGGATGTGATGAAAGTTCTTTTAGGGGGAAGGTAAACTAACAAACTAATAATATCATTTTCTCCTTTCAGAGTAGGTTTTGAGGATGTGACCTGCCCCTCCCACAACACATTATATTAGTTAAAAGATGGATAAGTGTGTTATGAACCTATTCCTTACCTGTCTTTTACCATCTATCTTCAGCTGTAATGGCAATATGCTGATGAACATTGGACCGACTCACTACGGTGTAATCAGCCCTATCTATGAAGAGCGACTGAGGCAGATGGGGCAGTGGCTCAAGGTCAATGGTGAGGCCATCTACAGCTCAAGACCTTGGACATACCAGAACGAAACAAGTCCCCCAGAATTATGGTAAGTGAAAACTAATGATCACCAGAATCTTCATATGTTTCGGCATAGCGTCTGCTTTGCTAGTTTTCTTTAAATCAGATATGATTACATAAACTATATGTGTCTTTTCTTTATGACATTATCATACATGTTCCATCACGGCAGTTTATAAATAACAAGTGTGGGTCAGTTTCGGGCATAATAGCAGGAACAGGGATTGTAATGATTGATAGGTTGTTCTGGAACTTTGTGTGGGCACAAGAGTGAGTGAGTGAGTGAGTTTGCTTTTACGCCGCTTTTAGCAATATTCCAGCAATATCACGGCGGGGGACACCATAAATGGGCTCTACATATTGTGCCCATGTGGAGAATCGAACCCGGGTCGTCAGCGTGACGAGCGAACGCCTTAACCACTAGGCTACCCCACCGCCCCTGTGGGCACAAGAACATGCATTGATGCACATTGCTAATGATAGGTTACATATACTTTTTTAGCAGCAAAAACATTAACATTTATCCACATATCATATCAACCACGTTGTACATTTTCAAAGATATGAGCCTCCAAATATGCAAAATATTTCATTGCCTGTTGGGATTGAATCAGGTCAGATTTAGTCATTAGGTATTAATAGTTCATTTCTGTCTGAAAGCTGAATGACAACATATGACAATGGCATACCTAAGGAACCAAACTGTACACAGTGAAACATGTCACTTTCCATCATTACACTGGAAATCTGAAAGATCAAAATCAGAAACAGGTACAACAGCCATGAGTTTCAAACAGAGGTACTTGTATGCCCTGCTCACTGACATTTATCAACCTTCAGGTATACATCGAAGAAGTCCAATGAAGCTACCGATGTCTATGCTATCATCTTCAGCTGGCCGACTGAAGGTGTCATCACCCTTCGCCGACCATTGCCTGACACAGCCAAGACCGTAGTCACTCTTCTGGGGTACACTTCTGGATCATTTGAATGGACCAGTGCTGGTCCCAATGGGGGGATTAACATCACTATTCCAGTCATACCTGCCAACAGGATGCCGTGTAAGTGGGCATGGGTGTTCAAGATGAGCAATGTTAAAAACTGAACCAGCCAATGAAAAAATCTGTATGATGTAGTATATATAGTGATGTAATAAAGTTTAGTCATAAATTTGATGTTTCCTGTTGAGTTTGAAATATCAAGACTGTTAATCATGGTGTAAATGGTTTTGGTTCTGCATGATTTGTGGAACCATCTGCATGATACAAAATGCATGTAATTTATTTCAATTTATTAATTTTATGTGTGTTTCTTTCACAGTTATATATATATAATTGTGTGAACATAAAATCTTTGGCAAAATTAATGTGTTCTGTTTTGTTATGAGGTTTCTTCAGCATCATATGGGTGAGTGAGTGAGTGAGTACTCAGCAATATTCCAGCTATAAGTGGCAGTCTGTAAATAAGACCAGACAATCCAGTGATCAACAAATGAGAAAAGTATCATAGTGTCTCAGCATTAGAGGAACAGCTTGTCTTAGACATTTACCATTGTTGTTAAAGCCGATGAGCATGAACATGGTGCTGAAATCCTTCTAGAGGATGTTATAAGGATGTTGCAATTGTTTTGTTACCAACCAAACCATCTCGATGCTAACAATAATGCTTTAAGTCTACAGTCAAAGGTTAACTTGAGTTCTTGTGCCTGAAGGTGTTCTCTGTCAGCTACATTCTTCAAGACACCTGCTCAACTGCACATATCAACTTCTGTTCCTTGCACCAACCCATCTAGCAGATCCATGACCATGATCGCAATACAAAATAACTGTCACTGTCCCATAACCTTTTCAGCTTAGATTTTTCCTGAAGGGATGAATAGGGGAACCATCAACAGCATCACTAAATGCTGACACAATAAAGGGAAGCAACTAAAAAATATACTTCAATTATTTTACAGGGTCTACTTTTTGTGTAGAAATTTTTAAAAAGTTCTAACAGCAACAGATTTAACACAATGCCATCCATTCACGTTTGTTTTGATAAGTTTTAAATCCATTGTTGCAATGAATACATTAGAGTGAGTGAGTTTAGTTTTACACCGCACTCAGCAATATTCCAGCTATATGGCGGCGGTCTGTAAATAATTGAGTCTGGACCAGACAATCCAGTGATCAACAGCCGGAGCATCGATCTACACAATTGGGAACTGATGACATGTGTCAACCAAGCCAGCGAGCCAATCCCGTTAGTCGCCTCTTACGACAAGCATGGGTTACTGAAGGCTCATTCTAACCCGGACCTTCACGGGTTAAATACATCAGAAGAATTCATAGATATAACAATGATATGCCAATAAATCAGAATATAAACAAGTATAATGTGTTTGAACAAAAGATAATGTTTCAATAATGTTATGTACTTGATACATACTATATGCAGTTATATGTTCCACAACAATAGCCTTTGCAGTTGTTTTTATTGATCAGTCATGACCCCTTTGTTGTATTTGCATCCTAAATATTGTAGTTATTTACATGGCCTGGAACAATTCTACCTGGACTGAAAATATGAATGAATAAATGTGACAAGATGTTTTCTACCATTAACCTTCTCTTGACATGTGAGCCGAAGGAATTTCCATATTCAGATTTCAAGCTTTCTTGAGAATATATTAAAATTTTGAAAAATTTATACCTTTACATCTTTAATTGTCCTTGTTTCGAATTATTATGTCAACAATTATATCAAATTTCACCGTCATAAGTCCTGCACCTTCAGAGTACTAAGCTTAAGGCACACGATAAGTACAAATATCATATCAAGGTTACAAAAGAAAAAAACACACAATAGAAACTTATTATCAACCATCATCAACCAGTCTATCTTTTACCTTGAACATTTAGTCACCTGATCAGATATCGCCTGTCCTTGACCTTACCTTGGCTATAAAAAGAATCACTTAAAGATATCATCAAACATTGATGCAGGATCACAAACACACACGTCTCTCATCAAGAATGGGCACAAAGATAATTGTCCTAATATTGCTAGCTTTAACAACGACAGCAGATGGACGTTCAGGAAGGAAGACTGAGATTCGCTATGACCCAACATGGGAGTCCCTAGATTCCAGGCCATTACCAGCATGGTATGATGAAGCCAAAATTGGAGTCTTTGTGTCATGGGGAGTCTTTTCAGTTCCAAGTTTTGGAAACGAGTGGTTTTGGCAACGATGGCAAGGGGACAAAAATCCAAAGTATGTGCAGTATATGCAGGACAACTATAAACCTGACTTCACCTATGCTGACTTCTCAAGTGATTTCACGGCAGAGTTTTATGATGCTGAAGCTTGGGCTGAACTGTTTGCTGCTTCTGGAGCTAAGTATGACGTTCATCATTCAGTGAGTGAGTGAGAGGGAGGGTGAGTGAGTGAAATAGTGAGTGAGTGAGTAAAAGGGTGAGAGAAAGAACAAAAGGTGAGTGAGTGGAGCCAGTTGTGCTAACAATCATAGGGAAAATATACATTCAGCTGTGGTTATAACAAACCTAAAGGGACCACAAATGTTAGTTGTTATCACCATGGTACATTCTACCCATTTCAATTGATATACACAGCAAGTGGCTGTCACCTCAGTTCATGTTTTCAGATACACAGTCTTTATAACTAAACATCATGGAGGGTTTTGCAACTGGCCGACTAACGTCAGTTTTAACTGGAACTCGATGATGGTTGGTCCCAAGAGAGATATTGTTGGTAATTATACATTTCCAACCATATTTTCCAATCCAAATCATAAGATCTCTCCTAATTTTCTAAAATACAATTTCTAGGTTTTGTATGAAGAAACTTTCCCTATTCTTGCAAATTCTGGAAAACAGATTAAAAACAATTAAATCAATTTGGAAAGAAAGCTGTGGACTCCAAGATGCATGTTTCTGTCATTTCTCTCATTTCAACACCTAACGTTGTCAACAGGTGAGATGGCACGAGCACTCAAGTCAAAGACAGATATTCACCTTGGCCTGTACCACTCTATGTATGAGTGGTTCAACCCTCTTTATCTACAGGACAAGGCAAACAACTACACCACCACCAAGTTTCCTGAGGTCAGCTTAACAAAACTGAGGGTTTGTCATTGGAGTGTGTTTTGGTGCTGGTGTGAGGTGTGAGTTATTAAGTTAATGAGGCTTTATGCCATTTTGGCCTTTTTTGTGCAATATATGGGGAGGGGACACCTAAAGAAGGTTTCACATATCATTTCTGAACCCAAGAAGACTTCAGCATGTAAAGTAGACACTTTACTTGTCTACCTGTTGCCTAAATCATGTAATTTGGGTTGGTAAGCTGATTCTGATATCTTTAATAAAGTTGTCGGTGAGTGTGTGACGCTAAATAGGTTCGTCTATTTTGTTTCATTCTTTGTTGCTTGTTACTGCACTCAGCAATAATTCCATCTATATGTCATGGTCAGTAAATAATCAAATCTGGACCACTGATTGACATCATGATCTACACATTTGGGAAATGATGACATGCATATTAACTCAGTCGGTGAGTCTCACCCCAATCCCATTAGTCACTTCTTGTGACAAGCATGGCTTGCTGAAGATAAATTGATCTTCACAGATGTGAGTTTGTCTGTAGAATTTGGCTGGTGATTCTGGTTGGTTAGAGGTTGGTGTGTAGGTTGGTGAGAGGAAGGTGAGTAGGTTGGTTAGAGGCAAGAGGTTGCAAAATGTGGACTTCATTTATGATCTAATCTGACTCCTTCAGGTAAGGTAAAGCTTGCCTCCCTAAAAGACTGTAGTACATACCAGATATACTGAGAGAAACAAATAAAGGATCACAGGAACATTCAAGCGTTCCTTTATTATTTTTCCAGTTTTCATCATCACAGTGCTATTCAAAGCTGGGGATGAAAACTGGAAAATATTAAAGGAACGCTTAAATGTTCCTGTGATCCTTTATTTGTTTCTCTCAGGATATCTTCTTTGCAACAGCTTTTACAGGTTAGTCACAATGACATTTTGATCATTCTCACCCCTCATGGACAAAGTCTACAAATCTAAAGCTCAGTAAATTTTGGAGCTGGTTCAATAATGGAATTCACCAGTTTTCATGTAAAGCTTATCTGGAGCAAGTAATTCAACCTATTGTCATCACAAGGTGTGACATGAAGAAGCATTTAAATCAATATATTTCAGCAAAAGACTATTCCTGAGTTATACGAGCTTGTGAACAGCTATGAACCGGACCTGTTGTGGTCTGATGGAGACTGGGATGCCCCAGACACTTACTGGGGTTCCAAGGAATTTTTGGCCTGGCTGTACAACGACAGGTATGTGCTCCTGAATTGGAAAGATATTCCCACCAATTAAAATTGTGACATTGTGCACAAGGTAAAAGTATCACTTAATGCTAAACATGGCCCAAACCAACTTTAAGATTTCACATCTTTTCCAGAAATATATGAGAAAAGAAACTATGAAGATTTCCTACTAAGAACAACAGAAATCAAATCAAAACCTAACTGTGCTTCACATAAAGTACAATAAAGTGTAAATATTTACACCTCCCCACTTTAACCAGAACAATTTTCTGTCTCCTGTTACCCAATACAAAGTGAATAACTAAATATATATTTATTTTGAATAACATAACATTTACACTACTTTGTTAGAAGCAGGGTGACTTCTTCCTATTTATATACAGATCACAGTCTTATCTAGACTAACAACTAGTCTCAGAAATGAACATATTTTACTGAAAAGTGTTCATAGTAAAAAAAAAAATAATATAATGAAAAGGAGCCCTGAGACTTTCTTCATTTGAAGCTGAGGAAATCTAGACTTGCCACATTTTCTAGACTTGCGTGGGCTTTCTTGGATATATTTGCTTCAGGGTCTGTACGACAGACTGTCTTATCACAAATGACTGGATTTCAAGACAGTACCACCCATCACAGCAACATGCTCTCATCATTGTGTCAAATGGCTAAATGTTTGTTTTTCACAGCCCAGTGAAGGATAAGGCTGTCGTCAATGACAGATGGGGAAAGGGGGATGAATGTCATCATGGGGGATACTTGACATGTTCAGACAGGTTCAATCCAGGTAACATTTTAATACAGTAAACATGGATATTGTTATATATTGAAAACTCAAAATTTGAAAAGAATGTTAAAATGCAGTCACATATTATCACTGTATGTACATTGAATACACTCAACAAAATCTTAACTTAATTTATCGAATAACTTTAATTTAATAAAACCCATCTCTTCACTGATTATCAGTGAGTATGGTTTTATGCCACTTTTAGCAATAATGTTGCCAGATCACTGTGGGGACACCATTGTACCCATGTGGTGAATCAAACCCAGGTCTTTGGCATGATGAGAGAATGTTTTAACCTGATGATTACAATAAGGTTGTAACAATATATTTGATTCTTTTACCTGTTAAAGGAGTACTTCAGCCAAGGAAGTGGGAGGGTGGATTGACAATTGACAAGGCATCATGGGGATTCCGTCGAGAGGCTGTCCTGGCAGATTATTTGACCATGGAGGAGATTATAACACGGCTTGTTCAAGTTGTCAGGTGTGTACTATATCATATGTCAATCAATGAGTGAGTTTTGGACATTGTTTATCGTTTCTGGCAGATCTGACAGATGCAACCCTGGACATTTAATTCTGGCAGCTAGGAAGAAAAGGAAACATGTGTCTCAAGTAAATATGGACATCATAACAATAATAAAAAATCTCAAATAGTGATTCAGGCAAATACTTTCAAGGTTGATATTTATCATTTCAGCTGTGGAGGGAACCTGGTTATCAATGTCAGTCCAACCAAATATGGCATGATTAGCCCCATCTATGAGGAGAGACTGAGACAGATGGGAGACTGGCTGAAGCTGAATGGGGAGGCTATCTACTCCTCCAAACCTTGGGTGGCACAGAATGACACAGTCACACCAGGAGTTTGGTAGGTACTTTATATATTCCACACCTTGACTGGCACAGAATGACACAGTCATGCCAGGAGTTTGGTGGGTACTTTATATATCCCACACATTGGGTGGCCCAGAATGACACAGTCATGCCAGGAGTTTGGTGGGTACTTTATATATCCCACACCTTGACTGGCACAGAATGACACAGTCACACCAGGAGTTTGGTAGGTACTTTATATATTCCACACCTTGACTGGCACAGAATGACACAGTCACACCAGGAGTTTGGTAGGTACTTTATATATTCCACACCTTGACTGGCCCAGAATGACACAGTCACACCAGGAGTTTGGTAGGTACTTTATATATCCCACACCTTGACTGGCACAGAATGACACAGTCACACCAGGAGTTTGGTAGGTACTTTATATATTCCACACCTTGGGTGGCCCAGAATGACACAGTCACACAGGCACACACCTTGAATGACACAGTCACACCAGGAGTTTGGTAGGTACTTTATATATCCCACACCTTGACTGGCACAGAATGACACAGTCACACCAGGAGTTTGGTAGGTCCTTCATATATCCCACACCTTGACTGGATCAGAATGACACAGTCACACCAGGAGTTTGGTAGGTACTTTATATATCCCACACCTTGACTGGCCCAGAATGACACAGTCACACCAGGAGTTTGGTAGGTACTTTATAAATCCCACACTTTGACTGGCACAGAATGACACAGTCACACCAGGAGTTTGGTAGGTACTTTATATATCCCACACCTTGACTGGCACAGCGTGACACAGTCACACCAGGAGTTTGGTGGGTACTTTATACATTCCACACCTTGGGTGGCACAGAATGACACAGTCACACCAGGAGTTTGGTAGGTACTTTATATATTCCACACCTTGGGTGGCCCAGCGTGACACAGTCACACCAGGAGTTTGGTAGGTACTTTATATATCCCACACCTTGACTGGCACAGCGTGACACAGTCACACCAGGAGTTTGGTGGGTACTTTATACATTCCACACCTTGGGTGGCACAGAATGACACAGTCACACCAGGAGTTTGGTAGGTACTTTATATATTCCACACCTTGACTGGCTCAGAATGACACAGTCACACCAGGAGTTTGGTAGGTTCTCTATATATCCCACACCTTGACTGGCACACAATGACAGTCACACCAGGAGTTGGGTTGGTACTTTATATATATCCCACACCTTGACTGGATCAGAATGACACAGTCACACCAGGAGTTTGGTAGGTACTTTATATATCCCACACCTTGACTGGCACAGAATGACACAGTCACACCAGGAGTTTGGTAGGTACTTTATATATCCCACACCTTGACTGGCACAGAATGACACAGTCACACCAGGAGTTTGGTAGGTACTTTATATATCCCACACCTTGACTGGCACAGAATGACACAGTCACACCAGGAGTTTGGTAGGTACTTTATATATCCCACACCTTTGGTAGGTACTTTATATGACAGCGATGACACAGTCACACCAGGAGTTTGGTAGGTACTTTTATATATCCCACACCTTGACTGGCCCAGCGTGACACAGTCACACCAGGAGTTTGGTGGGTACTTTATACATTCCACACCTTGGGTGGCACAGAATGACACAGTCACACCAGGAGTTTGGTGGGTACTTTATATATTCCACACCTTGACTGGCCCAGAATGACACAGTCACACCAGGAGTTTGGTAGGTACTCTATATATCCCACACCTTGACTGGCACACAATGACACAGTCACACCAGGAGTTGGGTTGGTACTTTACATATTCCACACCTTGAAGTTATTTTCTGCTTTCCTTGCACAGAATGACAGAACCATACTCAGAGCTACTTTATGCCATGAAGTCAACATATTTCTCTTTCAACAAATGAGTAATCTTAATAAGTGCTTTATAATAATCCTGAAGATTTAAAATTAAAGAAATATTAAAGATCTCATTAATTGCAAACACAACAATGAAGAAATGGTAACTGCCTAGTAACATTACTTTTGTTTGCTCTCGACCACACAATCTCTGAGATCAAAAGTAACTTATGTGGAGTATACAAGTGCTCTGACATTTTTCCATTTACAGAGATACGTCAGATTCAGAAGTCTTGTAAACTACACTGTGTGATATCTCTTCAGGTACACACAGAAAGGGGGGACGGTGTACGCCATTGTCCTCAACTGGCCACAACCAGGTCAACTCATCCTTGGATCAGCTTTGCCAAAAACTGGAATGAAAGTCAGTCTCCTTGGCTACACTGAAGGCTCCTTCTCCTGGCAGAATGCTTCACCCAAAGGAATCAGCATCACAATCCCTCCCATCCCTGTCAACCAGATGCCATGTCAGTGGGCATGGGTCTTCGCAATGGCATAAATGGTTCACAACAGGATGGGTCTTTAAAGGTTAATATAGAAGAAAACAAGATTAATATGGATAGGATCCAAGAGACGATCTCGTATCAAACTATGTAAGGAGTGGAACTTTTTCAGAACAATTTCAAACTGTTAGGAATAAATTTCGTTATTGATATAGATAACATAAGCCAATTATATTACGAAGAAAGTTCCTACAAATAAAACACTTAATGAACATCTGGTTAGCAAGAAATCTTACACCTTATGGAAGAATCACAGTTTTAAAATCCTCCCTCCTGCCCAAGTTAAACCACCTGGTTTCTACACTTCCTCGCCCACTTGAATCTGTTATAGACAATTTCCAAAAACGATGTTTTAGATTTATATCACAAAACAAGCCAGATAAAGTTAAAAGAGATACTGTTGTGCTAAATCTGGAACATGGGGGGCTTAAAGTTCCAATGATTAAAAATGTTATATCTTCACAAAAACTGAAATGGGTAGAGAGATTACAAAGCACCTCATCAAATTGGAAATCATTATTTATGCACAGATTTCACAGTCACAACTTATTGTGGATATCAGATAAAACATATATCGAAAATAGAGTGAAGTCTTTAAAGATTGGTCTAATATTGTTAGAAGATACAAAGGACATGTAAAAACTGAGTGTGACCTACCGGTACTCTCTCAAAGTATTTGGAATAATGATAACATAAAAGTTGGAAATGAGACTATTTCTTATAGAAGTTGGGAAAAACAAGTATAATATTCGTAAACGATTTATTGAATGAAAACGGCAGATTATATTCTAAGGAAGAATTCTGTGCCTTATACACCCTAGACACAGACTTTCTTAAATATGAGGGTGTTAAACAAGCCGTTTTATGTTATGCAAATTCAATAGGTATTACTTTATCCAGACGTAAATTATGTAATCCAGTGTATCCGTTTATAATGAAATGTACAAACAATCACCTGGGACACCAAAGTATGATATGTCAGTTGATTCACGCTTTGTTAAATGATAAGTGGGAACACGTCACTGGTTCGCACTACTCAGACTTTGGCTGGAAACGTTTCAACTCGAACACAAATAAATGTACTGCAAGTACCGAATTAAGATGGCTGCAGTACAGAACCATTCACAGAATATTGCCAGTCAGACATTTCCTCTACAAAATCAACTATGTGGATAGCCCTAAATGTACCTCTTGTAGCGATCACGACGAAACAATTCTGGGAGTGTGACAAGGTGGAAAGCATATGGCGTGAAATGAAAATATGGCTCAGAACTGTAGATGTAGAATTGAGTTTTACAAATTCCCAGGTAATGTTTGGGATTAAAGGAAAGCATGACAATGCACTAAATGCAAAAATATTTTAGTCAAGAATATCATATACAACTGTTTCATTCCAAATACTTCATACATTAAGAGACAACTCATACAATATTATAATACCACAAAATATGTACACATTAACCTTCACCAGGAACCCTAATTCCTAAAACTATGGTCCAGTTTACACAAGCTATTTAGAACCGTTGAGTAGGTAAATTACTTCGATGTACATGTAACAATGTTATTGACTCTGTACAATTATACTGAAGTTATATACATGTATAATGAACAGTATACTCTTACATATGTCAACCTGTATGTATACCTGAAAAAAAGCAAAATCAGAAAAAAAGGATAGGGTCTTTGCAAGGAAATAAACATATGGTTTATAATGGGATGTGTGTTCATTATGACACAAATCATGGACAATTAAAGAGATGGGCCTTAACAATGACATAAATTGATGACAATTATAAAAGAAGACCTTTTCCATAACATATTTGTCAAAGAGATGGCCCCAACAAATGCATTTGCTACTTAACTTACATTTTTGTATTACAAAAGGAACTTGTTTTCATTATAAAAAGAATGCTTCCTTGAATGCATATATAAAGATTATGACCAAAATTTCTATCCTTTTTTCTCAACTTCAACACATATTAAATCCTAAGAAACCTGACATGACAAAAAATGTAAGAACAAAGGTTATCTCCCTTGAATTGACATTGTCTCCCTTGTCTTCGCCATGACATAAATAGTTAACATTAACACAGGTTATAAACATATCATTGATAATGGGATGGACCTACACAATGACACAAATGGTTGACAAATATACAAGATGGGCCTTCACAATGATATACATGGTTGACAACTGAATAGTGGACATTTTCAATAACATAATTTATTTACAATGAAATGTCTGACAATGGGATGGTCCAAATAGACATGTTTGCTATTTTACTTTAATTCTTGTGCTACAAATGAAAGTGGTTCTCATAATAAAATGAATGCTGCTTTGACTGCATATATGAACATTATAACCAATATTTTCTTGCTTGTTTATTTGTCCACTTTAATGCATCTCTTAAATCTAAGAAACCTGACATGACAACAGAGGGTGTTGTAAGAGTAAGGCTTATCTCCCTTTAAAGGGCATGGTTATAACTCAATGATTTATGCAAAATATGCATGATGAAAGTTTTGAATATTTACTATATTGTGACACACATGAGAGAGAAAGAACATGAACTACAAACATTCTGATCAAGAGTCAGATATCTTGTGGAGAGAGGTTAGCAATGTGTGTAATGCCAACACGAACTGCTATCACTTATTCTTGGACACATAGCAGATATATTCAAAGTTACCAATCAGCAAGGTGTGGAATAACACCATATCAAAGAGGTTACTCGATACATCTCACCCACAAACACCTTGCAGACATACTCAAAGAGGTCACTCCATCAGCAAAGTGTGGGCTAATGCCATGTTCTGCTGCACATCTCACCCAGAGGTTACTCCATCAGCAAGGTGTGGTCTGCACATCTCACCAACAAACACCTTGCAGACATACCCAAAGAGGTCACTCCATCAGCAAGGTGTGGGCTAATGCCATGTTCTGCTTCACATCTCATCCCCAAACACCTTGCACACATACCCAAAGAGGTCACTCCATCAGCAAGGTGTGGTCTGCACATCTCACCAACAAACACCTTTCAGACATACCCAAAGAGGTCACTCCATCAGCAAAGTGTGCGCTAATGCCATGTTCTGCTGCACATCTCACCCAAAGGTTACTCCATCAGCAAGGTGTGGTCTGCACATCTCACCCTCAAACACCTTGCAGACATACCCAAAGAGGTCACTCCATCAGCAAGGTGTGGGCTAATGCCATGTTCTGCTGCACATCTCACCCAGAGGTTACTCCATCAGCAAGGTGTGGTCTGCACATCTCACCCTCAAACACCTTGCAGACATACCCAAAGAGGTCACTCCATCAGCAAGGTGTGGGCTAATGCCATGTTCTGCTTCACATCTCACCCTCAAACACCTTGCAGACATACCCAAAGAGGTCACTCCATCAGCAAGGTGTGGTCTGCTCATCTCACCAACAAACACCTTTCAGACATACCCAGAGAGGTCACTCCATCAGCAAGGTGTGGTCTGCACATCTCACCAACAAACACCTTGCAGACATACTCAAAGAGGTCACTCCATCAGCAAGGTGTGGTCTGCACATTTCACCAACTAACACATTGCAGACATACTCAAAGAGGTCACTCCATCAGCAAGGTGTGGTCTGCACATTTCACCCTCAAACACCTTGCAGACATACCCAAAGAGGTCACTCCATCAGCAAGGTGTGGGCTGCACATCTTACCAACAAACACCTTGCAAACATACACAAAGAGGTCACTCCATCAGCAAGGTGAGGGCTAATGCCATGTTCTGCTACACATCTCACCAACAAACACCTTGCAGACATACCCAAAGAGGTCACTCAATCAGCAAGGTGTGGTCTGCACATCTCACCAACAAACACCTTGCAGACATACTCAAAGAGGTCACTCCATCAGCAAGGTGTGGTCTGCACATCTCACCAACAAACACCTTGCAGACATACCCAAAGAGGTCACTCCATCAGCAAGGTGTGGTCTGCACATCTCACCAACAAACACCTTGCAGACATACCCAAAGAGGTCACTCCATCAGCAAGGTGTGGTCTGCACATCTCACCAACAAACACCTTGCAGACATACTCAAAGAGGTCACTCCATCAGCAAGGTGTGGGCTAATGCCATGTTCTGCTACACATCTCACCCTCAAACACTATGCAGCCATGATCAAAGAAGATACACCCATGGTTAGGCTGACACCATATTCTGCAGCATGTGTAACCACTGGACACCTTCTACACATATCTAAAGTGGTTAACCCATTAGCAAAGTGTCAGCTAATGATGCTGCTTATGTTCCTTTTGTCAACACTGAGAATGACTACGAACACACAATTTTGTATCATGCAACACAGAACCAGAACCTGTGTAAGTAGGAAAGCAAACTTCGAAATGACTGTGCTTATTCAGCCCTTTGTGAAAAAGGCAAAAAAAAGATTTTAAAAAAGAATGAGTCACAGGTTCTGTTGGGCACAAATTTAAATGTGACTCGGTATAGTAAAGTACAGCCTAAGGGGACTGACTTTACAGAACGATAAAAACTACTCTCTTTAACAGGTAAGAAATTGTTATAAATTTCAAAGTCTTAACCTTTAACTAAAGCAGCAACCAAAAGATGTTGTCAGCACATTTACTTGTCGGTCAGAATGCTGACATCTCTATCTATCATGACCTTCACCCACATTACAACATACCTAGAAATGATAACTATCACGGTCATATACCTTAGATACATATCACAGCTGTTGAAATGGCTACCACTTCAGATGGTTTCCTTCTTTAACAATCATTGTAACTATTAAAGTAAATTCTCCACAAGTTTGCTATGAACCCACATGGGAGTTGCAAGATTCCCGACACATTCCATCATGGAATGATGAAGTTAAAGTGGGAGACTTTATCCACTGGGGGAGTTTTCGGTACCAAGTTTTGGTTCTGAGTGGTTCTGGGAGGCCTGGGAGGGATACATGCAAGCTGACTACATAGACTTCATGTAGAACAACTACAGCCCAGACTAACTCCATGCTTGCATGTCGCAGGTATATTGAGTTTGTAAACAAGCATCATGAAGGTTTCTGCAACTGGCCAACCAATGACATTGTGGGTAAGAAAATGCATGCTATATAATACAGCTGATACAACTAGGCTCAACCTTCAACATGTGGGAATTAAGTTAACAGTACCTTTAATCTACCTACTAATGAACTATCCAACCATCCATTTCAACCCTCAGGGTTCCTGCTCAGATTGGTCACCTTCGCCTGTCATAAGAGGCAACATAAGGGTTTATATGAGCAGTCTGGTTAAGTGATCAAATTGCTTGAATAATTGCTCACAATATCAGTCACTGTCAGTATCATTGTTGTGTAACTGACACCATTAAACATCAAACATACTAATTAACTGACAAATACATTTGTTGTCAAGTGAGCTGGCCCAGGCCATCCGCAGCAAGACAGACCTCCACTTTGGCATGTATCACTCCCTGTTCAAGTGGTTCTACCTTCAGTTTCTAAAGGACAAGGCCACAAACACATTTGTTGAGGTCAGCTTCTTTATATACATCATTGATTGATTCTCTAAGTGAAAGTGATCATAATGGTGCCAGTTAGTAGGTTTCATATCACTTTTAAAAAGTTGAACTTTTCCAGCAATGCCACAGGACAGCAGAAATTAAATCATTCCAAGAATATTATATAATTGACATTGGCAATATTCATGTAATTTGGCTATCATCACTCAGCCATCCAGGAAAATTGTAAGGTGAACATCATTACATGCCAACTGCAGCTTCTTTCTTCTATACATCTTGAATACCCGACTGTTACATCATTGTCTGAATTCAAGGGTTGGATCTAACATATAGTAATCCAGGTGTGACGACAGTAAGGTGCAAAATGAAACATAAAGGCAGATGGAAAATCCATATCTGCACAGAAAATACCATTATATTGGCATTTCTATGATGTCATTTCAAGGTTGTGTAAGTTCTGGTTGTGATGATGTCCCTTCTGTTTCTCTCGGTTTTCCTTTCAGTTCCTAGGATGTCATCCTGATGTCACTTCTGTTTATGATGTCACTTTTGGTTTTGTTGATGTCATATATGGTTCTGATGACTTTCTTTTCTGTCATTACATCTGCTGAACCTAAAGTCAACTTCAGATATTTTGGAGTAAAGTCAGTGGTAAACATAAGATCTGTCTCATGTCTGTGACCTTCACCTCCTAGGAATCAAGATGAATCTTTGACCTGACTTGTTATTTAGTGGGTAACTGTAGCCTATGGGGCTACCAAAGGCCCCATGGTAAAAAGCCCATCCAAATCTGGGTTTTACCATATATGACCGACTATAAGTCGGAAATTTGATACCAGAACAAGGAGCTAAAAAATCAGACTTGACTTATAATTGAGTTCATTAATCTACCTAAAAAATTCCAGAGGTCAAGTGAGTGAATCTGCCAGCCCAGCGAACTCAACTGGCAATGTTTACACCAGAAGCAGGAAGCATATATGTACTGCAACGTTTCCAAAGATAAATGACATCATGGGACAAATAAAACGTAAAATATAAAATGTTGTTGTTTGTCTTTTGTAAAAATATATTTCATAATATAAAGGTTAAATTAAACTTAATCAGATATTTTGATCACAACTATTTATTTAATTTGTTATCGATCGATAAGATATCGAAAGAAAGTTTCACATAAGTAAACTTTGTATTCTGTGGCAGTTTTGTGTTATGGTTTTGAAAAATACTGTTAATAATTTAATAAATACTACAGATGATATTAATCAAGAAATGACATCGAAGTGAAATATATCTGTGTCACTCGATCAGTCTCGGTTGTACAGTAGCGTTCGCTCAATGCATCCCACACAATGTGTGTTCCCAACTGAACAGTTTTTGATACAGGAATAGCAACAGATTTTTACACAATGCCATCGATGCATATTTGTCTTGATAAGATTTAAAATCCAATATTTTATAGACTTTGCAGTTAAGTTCTTTGATCAGTTATGATCCCTTGGTTACATTTGCCTCCTAAATATTGCAACTATTGCCATGGCCTACAACAAATATACATGGACTAAAACTGACAATATGAACGAATAAATGTGACAGGATGTTTTCTACCAGTGACCTTCTCTTGACATGTCAGCAGAAGCAATTTAGGCTCTGCTGATTTCATGCTTTCTTGAGAAGATATTTTAATTATGAAAATGTAATTTCCCTTATACCTTTAATTGTCCTTGCTTCATATCACAATGAAGACAAACAAGTCCTGCACCTTCAGAGCAATAAGCTTTAAGAAACTCTTTGGAAAAATTATATCCAAGATCACAACAAGGTAATAAAAGAAA